GGTTTACCTTTCTCGAATAATCCTGGCTAAAATTTCTTTAGGCGGTGCTTCAATATCAACCCAAACGCGGAAGAAACGCAATGGATGACGATCGGTTGGTTTTTTCGTAGAAATTTCGACGCCGTTTATCGAACCTTCAACGATCCAACCTTTCCAACGTTCACGATGCTCCTGAAAATTAGCAGTTGTAGATCATCTCAATGATAAACTTAACGGCGTAATTCACGCTATTTTACACACAGAACTGAAAATTCCCCCTTGGGACGAAATTCAAGTGGCAACGAGATGTATGACTCGCTCGGGCATACTGTTCCAGGTTCATCTGCCCCAGGCTTACTTGCTTTCCGTTGATGACGACCATGCAATTTATTTAATCTATCTGAATTTGGCATAAAGTGAAATTTGTAAAAATTTAAGATGCTTACTTTTAGCAGATCCCTCACTTTTTGCAGCATATACGTTTTATAATTTCCACCGTCAGAAGCACCTAATTCAATAAGAAATGGCGCATCCGGTTCGGTATCCTCAGGCCACATACCACATTCATCACGCTCAAATCCGGAACAATTTGGTACGATAAATATCTTTGTACAGTTTTCGATCATCTGCACCAGGCATTCTTGGGCCGCTCGCGATTCTTTGATCTCACGCTCCGTCGGTAATCCTGACGCTCCAATTGTCTTGTGGCGCCTAAATAATATACTATAGAGCTTCAAAATGTCAATATCCAGATTCCTTTTCGAAAAAACTATCCTATTTTCAGCAGAAAATAGAAGCATTTTTTTGATTTTGATCAGATTCGGAAGAGACAGAGTAAAATCATTAGGAATTGCAGAATAAAAACTAAGGAAGAATGACTGGAGCAAGTGCACAGTTACGTGTAGCTAAGGAGCTTTTCAATAATAACGGAAGTCCTACACTTTTGTCCTGAACAATCTGTTTGTTGTTGAATTCAACGCCTCAATTTTGAGTTCCGATCCTCGTATACTCGATGAAAAATACTAAGTCATCAAAGATATTAATTGTTCCATCTACTAACAGGAAAAACTCCTCTATAAACGCTCCCTGCAAGAGTCAGAGGCACTCGAAAGGAGCCT